AATCGATACATCGATCGATACTCGCACGAAAATCAATAATTAAATAAATAAATAATTAATTTTTTTTTTTAACGATCTTGACCTACATGATCTTGAATTCTATAATTGCTACAAAACTTAACGATGATAATAATAATAATAATTTTATATAATTAAATTATTTACATAAACGCAATTTAAAAAAAAAAAAAAAATGAATGCTTTCATTGTTGAATGCTGTCGTAAAACAACAACAGCAACAAATAATAATAATAATAAAAATAATATTAATAGTCATTAAAAACGTGAAAACTATAAAAATTTATTCATTCCTTTTTTTCTTTTTTTTTTTTATAGCGCTCTATAAAAATAAAAATAAAAAAAATTTAATTTTAATTGCAAAATAAAAATCGATTTATTTATTTGTTGTATTTATTTATTTTTCACTTCGATTGTTTTTACAACAAAACGGTTTCGTTTTATTATTATTATTATTACTATTATTATTATCATTATTTTACTTTCTTGAAGAAGAAGAATAAAAAAAAGAAAAGAAATGGTTTTTGTTTTAAATAAAAAAAAAAAGGAAAAAGAGAGAGAAAGAAAAAAAGCGGTTAAAAGAAATGATGAGGTTCGGATTGGTTTAGACGATATTAAAACATTTCCACGGATTTTTTTTTTTTTTTTGTTTCGATTGTTTTTATATGAAAGAGAGATCCCGGGGGAAAAGGTGGGACAGGTGTGTGTGTGAGTGAGAGGGGGGAAGAGGGAAGGAAGGGGGGCAAACCGAATGAATGCACATGTATTTATATGGAGTGAATGTGAATGTTATTGTGTATATTTTATTAAGGTTGAAAATGCGTGAAACCATAAAAATAAATTTCCGGTTAATCAGTTTTTTTTTTTTTTAATAAATATATATATGTATGTTTTTTTATTTAAATAAATAAATAAAAATGGCGGTTTTTTTTTTATTTATAATAAATAAATTTTTTTTTAAATTTAATTTTAAAGTCGTAAACGTAGTAAATAAATAATGATGGTGATGGTCGCGTTGGTAAATGTTATTATGAATGAATATTATTATTATTATTATTTTTTTTAAATAAATGATTTGTTTACATTTGTTTTCTTGCCACTCATCCCCCCCTCTCTCTCCCTCTCTCTCTCTCTATCTTTGTCGAATTTTCTTGTACTCATTTTTTATTTTTTTTTCTCTCTTTTTTTTTCCGTCCCTTTACTTTTTTCTCTTTATCTATTTGTATATCTTCCTGTTTTATACTGTCATTTTTCTTCTTTTCCCTCTCCTCTCATTTTTTCTCCTCCTCTCTTTTTTTCCTTTTTTTTCTCTCTCTTTCTCATTTTTCTCTATTTATTTCAATTTTTCTCTCTCTCTTTTTCTGTCAACTTTCCTTATGTTTTTTTCTCTTCTTCTGTTTTTCTCCCTGATTCTTGCTCTTTACTTTCCTTTTCCTTTCTCCGTACTCTCTGCCTTTTTCCCTTCTTTTCTCTTTTTCTTTCTCTGTCTTTTTTTTCTCTCTCTCTCCTTTCTTGTCTATCAATTTTTCATCAGTTTCTCTCTTTCTCCCTCTCTTTTAATATCCCTTACGTTCTCTTTCTTCGCTAACTTTTCTTATGCTTCATTTTTATTTCTTTTTTTTCTCTGTTTGTTTCCTCCTTTTTATTTTTCTTTTTCTCTCTTTCTCTTTGTCTATTTTCTTTTCTCTCTTTCTCATGTTTTTCTGTTTCCCTTCTTTTTTTTTTCCCCATGTTTCTCTCTTTCCCTTCCCTTCCTTTTCTTTCTCTCTTTGTTTTTTTTCATAATCTCTTTCTTTATCTCTTTCTCTCTCTCTCTCTTTCTTTCCTTTTTTGTCCTTTTAAATCTTTTTCAATTTCTCTCTCTCTTTCTAATTATTCTCGTAGTTTTACTTAAATTTAACGATATGAAAATGTTTACCAAACCTATAAGAAAACAACCGCAAACAAAATAAAAAAGGAAAAATCATTTTACCCTTTTTATTATCTCCTTTTTCCTCTCCCCCACACCTTCCCTCTATTCATCCATTTAAACCTTTTTTATTTTAAATGTTTATAATAATTTTTAACGATTATTGTTTATTTCTACCGAAAAAAAGGAAAAACATTTTCTTATCCGCAAAAATCATTTAAACAAAACTTAAAGACTAAATAATTGAAAATTTTTTTTTTTGGTTTTTTACACGATTAACATAAATAAAAATAATTAACAAAACAATTTCAAAAAAAAAAAAAAAGAATGAAGGAAAGAAGAAAGAAGTAAAATTAAGAAAAAGCAAAAGAGAGAGAGAAAAAAAAGAAGTTAATAGAGAGAAATAAAAGAGAAAAAGAGAGGGGGGAAGAAGAAAAGTAAAAATGGAAAATATTTGACCACAAATGCCGGCTTTAAAATAAATTTTGTAGGCTTTTCTTTTTTTCCATTTTTTCCTTTTTTTTCCTTTTAGAGCTTTTAGTTTTCACTTTTTTTTTCCTTTTTATCCAAACATTCATTTTCATTTCATTCACTTTTTTATGTACATACATACATATATATATTTTACAATCGTCCTTCTAAGTAATAATTTATAATCGCGTTTTATTTTAATAAGAAAAGTAGTGACGTCATTGCCTTTTTTTCTGACGTTATTAATTGCGATCTATTGAATTTAACCGTTTTTATTTATTTATTTATTTTATATTCGTGCACTTTTCTAAATTAAAAAAATGTCCACACGTTTTTTTTTTTTTTTTTTTTTTTGTTTTCTTCTTTCTCATACATTTATTTTATTTATTTTTTTCCCTCAGGTTTTCATTTTTTCCCTTTTTTTTTTAAAGAAAAATATGTGTGCGTGTGCGCGTGCGCGTATATAATGAGGAAAAAATCGTGATTAGAATTTAAAAGTAAAAGAAAAAACAAAAAAAACGTTTTTTTTTTTTTTTTTAACTTAAAATATAAGAAAACTGATATTTTAAAAAAAGAGAAAAAAGGGAAGTGACGTCATGTCACATTCAATCATTTATTTTCATTTTATATTTTTTTTTTTTTAAAACGTCACAATAAGAAAAAAAAAATTTTTTTTTGTTACTTTTACCTTTTTTTTCATTTCCGCCATTTTGTTTCTCGACATTTTTTTTTTTTTTTAAAATTCAGGTGATTGAACGAATAGAAATTTTTTTAACGTTTGTTCTCGTTGTTATTGTTGTTGCATTCGTAATTTTTTAAAAGTAATTTATTATAAATTTTGCAATATTGAACAACCGGAAACTCCACCCACTCACCCACCCAAACAAACAAACAAACAAAGGAAAAAAATTTTACCTATTTTTTGTTTTTTAACGTTTTGACAG